ATAATGATAAAAGGACTGATCCATCAAGAAGACATAAGAATCATAAATATACACACCCAATGTTGGAGCAGTCAGACTTATAAAACAAGCTCTATTAGACCTAAAGAAGGGAATAGACACTAACACTATAATTGCAGGGGACCTGCATACCCCACTGTCAATATTGGACAGATCAACTAGGCAAAGAATTAGCAGAGAAACACAAGATCTTAACAATACTTTAGACCAATTGGACTTGGCAGATCTCTACAGAACATTCCATCCAACAACCTCAGAATATTCATTCTTCTCATCAGCACATGGATCATTCTCCAGGATAGATCACATATTAGGTCACAAATCAAGTCTCAACAAATTCAAAAAAATTGGAATTTTTCCATGTATTTTCTCAGACCACAATGGATTAAAATTAGAAATCAATAACAAACAAAATTCTGGAAACTATGCAAACACATGGAAATTAAACAGCATTCTACTTAATGACATATGGGTCCAAGAAGAAATCAAGCAGGAAATCAAAAAATTTATTGAAACTAATGAAAATAATGATACATCATACCAAAACCTGTGGGACACTGCAAAAGCAGTATTAAGGGGGAAATCTATTGCATTAAATGCACACCTCAGAAGAATAGAAAGATGGCAAGTGAACAACTTAACACTTCAGAGTTGGTTTTTTGAAAAGATAAACAAAATTGACAAACCATTGGCATGGCTAACAAAAAAAAAGAAGAGAGAAGATTCAAATAACAAAAATTAGAAATGAAAAAGGCGATATTACAACTTATTAATCTGAAATACAAGGAATCATTCGAGAATACTATAAACAAGTATACGCCAACAAGTTTGAAAATCTAGAGGAAATGGATAAATTTTTGGACACACACAAGCTCCCAAAAGTGAACCATGAAGACGTAGAAAATTTGAACAGACCAATTACAATAAAGGAGATTGAAGCTGTTATCAGAAAGCTCCCAACAAAGAAAAGCCCAGGACCAGATGGATTCACAGCAGAATTTTACCAAACATTCAAAGAGGAATTGACACCGATTCTTTACAAACTATTCCAAAAGATTGAAACAGATGCAAA